CCTACCCTCCTGGAAAAAGGGGACGACGGTGAGGGGCGGCTTCCGGCCGAAGAAGGCCTCGAACGGCGACATCCAGCCCTGATTGGCCTTCGTCGCGGAGCGGTTGAAACAACCGGATGCCCAGAGCGCCGACGAGAGCCACAGGCGTTGTCCGTTGGCGCCGATGTTGGGGACGGAGGCGAGGTCGACGTGGGCCATGGAGAGGATGTGGCGTCGCGCGGCGTGACCCCCCTTCATCGCACGCCAGATGGCGCTCTCGGCGACGGCGTTTTGTTTGGGGGTGTTCGGCGCGGTGTACTCGCGCCGGATGCCGGCGGCGTCGCAGAACTCGATAAAAGCGGCGCCGGTGAACTCGCCGCCGTTGTCCATGCGGAAACATCCCGGAGTGCCCATGCCGTTCATGTCGGCCAAGAAGCGCTTCACGTACTTCAGGGTGTCGCTCTTCGCCCGCATCCCGTACGCCCGTTGCCACCGCGATGCGCTGTCCACGAACATGATCAGGTACCGGGAGCCGTCCATCGCCTCGGTGAACGGGCCCGTGAGATCGATGTGGACCTTGCCGAACGGCACCGCAGCGCGTGTCCCACGCCGCGGCACCGGGGCCCTCCTGCCCTTCGCCTCCACACAGCCCACACATGGCTGCAGCTCCCCGACCAGCCGAACACCCTGCTGCTTGGCAGTCTCACGCATCAAAAATTCGTTCACGTGGCCGGTGGAAGCGTGGAACAGATTAATATCGATGGTGGGCGTGGATTTTCCTACCGAAAAGGGGGAAGCACCGGGGGCGATAATCGCCAACGCGTGGGAAAGAGACGGAGGGGCTACGGCCTGCTGCTCATTGCACTCGGAAAGAAAACCTCTCAACACCTCCAAATCATCATGCTGCACAGTGAAAGCCAAGGGAGGGGGCTCCGCAGACGCAGAGAATTCATGCGCATCCGGAAAAAAATCACCCGGGGGGACCGTGTCTTTGCCATCCATCAACCCAACATCTAGGAACATGCTCATGTCCATGATCGGTAATTCGTCCTGAGAGACAAGGGGGTTGATCTCGATCTCGCGATAGTCTGTCAGCTCTACGGCAGGGGGAGGCACAATCGAAGACGATTCTATGGCAGCAGTAATCACAGGCTGAAAATCAGGGATCGTCGTGGGGATTGGGTCTACTTCGACAGACGGAAAAGCACAAATCGGCAGCACTACACCGGAAGTGGTGGAGGGGACGCTGGGAGTCGAAGGTACTACACCGTCGGAGCCGGTGGGCTGGACACCAGGAGTCGAAGGTACAACGCCGGCCGTTGCGACGGACTGGAAGCCAGAACTCGCAGGTACAACGCCGACCGCAGCGACGGACTGGAAGCCGGTACTCGCACTCGCACTCGAAGTCGCGCCCGCTCCTGCACTCTGTGGGAAAGGGGGGTTTGCCGCAACAAGGCCTGTGCCAACGCCAGGCGGGGACGCTTGGGCAGAAACACGGGGGGGGGCATCGGGGCTGTAGGTCACAGCGCTACCAGTATAATCCTGGGGCAATCGAGTAGCCCAGAGCGAGCATCCTACGTCAGAGTATGCAAAGGAAAGCCTACCATCGAATAGGTGGACGCCGGTCTCGTCTAGAACGATACGCTGCCTACGCTGCGTGTGGTGCAACGAAAAAAGATTGAAGGTGATTCCAGGCACAACGTACACGTCCGACATCTGCACGCAAAAATCATGCTCTCCTGACTGGTCTTGCATGTGAAAGGCCATGTTGACCTTCCCCACACACTGCACGCGCAAATAAGCACCGTTTCCAACCTGTATGTACTCTTTACCAGTCGGCACTGGCCTCAAATCGAACATGTGGTGGCTACTGCTAACAAAGGTGTTCGTGGCACCGCTGTCGGCCCAAAACTTCTCTCTACCAAAATGGGAAAGCGAGTTCTGCGCAGACAAAGCAAATCCATTACCATTCTCACGCTCGGTACTCGCTACAACACCACTCGGAACAATCTCGCCTGCAGACACGAAACGTGCCATCAAGAAGTGGAGGGAGCCCGGGGCCGGTGCTGCTGCTCCGGGAGGAGAGGAGTGGGGCGGGGCATGAGTCGAGTGCTGCTGCTGCTGGAACGTCGGCGGAGGCGGAGGCTGTGTCGGCGGCTGTTGCTGCTCGTAGTAAGGCGTCGGTGGCGGGTAGTACGGCTGCTGCTGCTGGGTGTAGTCAGGCGGAGGCTGCTGGTACTGTGGCTGCGGCTGCTCCCAACCCCCATACTCGCTACTATTTGCGGGCCCCCCGTAGGGCGGTGCACCGTGTTCGTGGTGCATCACGTTTGCATGCCCGTGCGAGGGTCGCCATTGCTGCTGCTGCGGGCGAGGGGGGACAGAGTTTCCATACCTTTGCTGCGCTCCGCGTCCGCCATGAGGTCCGTGCTGGGGTCCACCACGCCAGCCCCCCCCACCGCGGCCGCCTTGTTGCTGCTGCTGCTTTCTCTCCTTTTCCCGCTGCTGTTGGTAGCACTCCGCGTTGGTGTGGTTTGACCACGGATGAAAATGACAGCGCCTGTCTCCTCTGGTCTCGTCGCTCCTGCTCCGACCGTCGCCTTTGTCGTCCTGTCCGCCGCCGTTCCCACTCGACCCATTTGGGACACGTCCGTCGCCCCGGGGCGCACCGGAAGCGACGAAGGCGTGCCCCACGCCACTCTTTTGCTCCTCCTCCCGTGCGCGCACCAGGTCCGTGTGGGCCTCCTTCACGGAATCCTCAATCTGCTCAAAAGTCAAATCAGGGGTGCGGTCCAAAAGTTTCTTCTCTATCTTGTAGTCGGACGAGAGTGCAGACACTAGGTGGTCGTTTGCTTCGTTGTCAGGATACACTGTCCCGTGCGACGCTAGTCTACTCCGCAAAATAGAGAACCTACCGAAGTACTCTTGTGGATGTTCGTTTGCATGCATTGCGAAGCCATGGTACTCTTTCAAAAGTCTTTTCTTCTCCGCTTTCGCTTGTGGCTCGTAATATTTGAGGAAAATCCTCCAGCCACCACTCGGGCTCCCGTCCGACACGATTTCCGACAGAATCGGCATGTACGAGATTGACGTGATTAGCACATTCCATGCCACTTTAGCCTTGGCTACCTTTTGTTCGCCATACTCAGTCTTCAGGTCAGTCATACTGATCCCCTGCCTCCCTACTGGGATGTCTTGGTTGCTCATCACTACTTCGTGAACATCCTCCTGCGCAAAGCGTGCTACCATGCTCGATCGAAAAATCAAAAGCTTCTGCTGCCTACTGTCCCCCGACTTAAACACACCATCCCAAGGCTCAATTCTTCTACTCTCAGTCATACGAAGAGTTGCGGGGTGAGACACTGCACCGATATCCCCTGAGGTTTGGAGGCGACCGGCCATGGCAGTCGCAATCGCGTCGGCCAGCTCGTCTGCGGAGGGGTTGGGTGTTGGGCGCCCAGGATCTTGCTGGTGTGCTGCCTCTTGTTCCTCATTTCCTCCCCGCTGCTGCTCGGCTCGATGCCGCACCTCCATCTCGGCCATCTTCTTGGCCAGTTTCTCCTCCATCAGCTGCTCCATCCGAGCTGCTACTCGCTCGTTGACCAGTTCTTCGATCCTGGCGTCCTCCGCTGCTTGGCGGGCTTCCGCTGCTGGGCGGGATTCATCTTCGCGCCTGGAGGCCATCTTGACCCTGCTGTCAATCGCCGCAAGGCGATGCTCCTAAACCAAGCTCGACCGCGAATCTCGTAGACGACGTGTCATACGCTAGCGTGATCGATAATTCGGGTGGCTCGGTTCTTTGTGGTTGGAGCTCAAAGCGGGTGGCTCATGGCGGAGCGTGGATGGGTAGGAAACGTGTTGAAAACGTAATGCAAAAGTATTGGAAAGTATTGTATTTATCGGGGGCGTGCCAGTGCTCGTCAAACCTTCACGGTATCTGGGCACGCCTTCACTCTTTGTCACTCAACGAATCTCTCTGAATCTCCACCAAATACCTCTCGCAACCAAGGAATATATGTAGAAAGTTCCTATCCCTCCGCATCTCATCACTGTTACTTTCGTACGTACGTACCGGACATCTCAACCGTCATACTATGCTACGAGTACTCCCAATATATCTAATAGGGGGGGGGGGGCAGGTTCGGTTTAAGAGAATCGGGGTTCGATTTAAGAGGTGTGTCTGGCTATTTTGACCTCTCCTAAACCGGCAATTCTCTTAAACTGAGCTCTCTTAAACCGTAGCCCCCACTGTACGCAAAAGGCGGAGCAAAGTGGCTACGTGTGTGAATACTGTATGGGTCTCAAATCACACGCATGTGTCAGATCCGACGCTCAATAAATAAGGCACCCTCACTCGCTGGTAGACCACACATACATAGAGCGTCTATATAAAGCACGCGCATACATTCGCCCACCACGCGAATATATATAGAGTACGTCGTCAGCCCTGATGTCGAGGCTTCTGTACCCACCTGGGGGAATAATGTTTTGCTCTGCTGACAGTGAGAATCTCACACCAGCAGATAGATATTCTAGTCGGTGTCGTCATCTGTCATTAGCAACCAACCGTCATCAATCAACCGCTGATGTCAACCGCAAACATTCAACAAACCGTTGCAAACCGGTGTATTTATCGTCTCAGCGTATTTCTGTCGGGAATTTGTGGTTCTCCACCGGTTTTCGCTCTTGCAAGAAGATTTACCGGAACAAAGCTGACAGCAGTCCCGCCGCCGCCCACAACATTTTTGTCAAACATAAACATCCTTCCGTTCCACAAACACACCCGTGCGCACCACCACCACCCTACACACACACACACACACACACACTGCCTCCCGTCCTGCCCTCCTTCTCACCAGCACTGTCTTGCGCACCGCCACTACCATACCCAGCGCACGAGAGGCCACTTATTGCCTGTACGGCGTTCTGCTGCGTTCTGCTGCTGCTGCTGGTTTCCTCTGCTGCGCTGCTGTTCCTGTTGTGAGAGGTACAAGATATTCATTGGAACAGCAACGACACCACCCATGGCGTGCTGCCACAGCGAGAAGAAGACCAACTCCAGCAGCCTGCCCGTCCCGCGGCTGCTACGCAGTGCACTTCTTCTTCTGCTGCTGCTTGTTCTCTCGCCTTCGGCGTTCGCGGTCACGTACAACGTTAGCGCTGATGGCGACGGGATCGATCTTTATGAGGCCATGGATCTGGCTGAGGCCGGCGATACGGTGAACCTCCAAAACGGCACCTACGACAGCGCCCTGGTTTCCGTCAGGGACGGCGAGTTCGGCAGTCCGATCACCGTGGCCGGCGGAGCCGGGGGCCATCATCAAGGGGTCCTCCAGCAGCCGCTCCGTGTTCATCACGCACAGCTTCATCACGCTCAAGGTGTGTGCATGGGTGGGATAGATACTACCGATAGGCCTGGTATGTGTGTGGATCGGATCCAAGCTGTGTGACTGCCTGAACGGTTGGATCTTTGGATGATGATGAGCATCGTCGCATGAGTCCGGAAGCTGTCTGGTTGCTACTGCTGTGCTCGCAGTTGAAATGGAGCAAGAAGGAGCGAATGAAATATTACTCGATGCACCATTTGCGTCGTTTCCTGCTACACGGGAGATAGTGTGTAGTGCGTGGCTACTCGAAACACCGTGGGCGACCGCACGTACGTTTTGTGTTTTGTGTCGCCAGAGTGCGTCGGTTGAGATCCACGAATGCATGACGAAATTTCTCACCGCGTTCTACTGTGCACTGTGCAGCAGTACATATACAGATGGTTGTTAGAGCAGTAGATGTGCTCGGACCATTGGTTCGTGCCGATGGGCCATCTTTGCGCTTCGGTGGTCCTGCCGCACACAGAGGCTGGAAACTGCTCCACCGTGCAGCTGCCGTGCAGCTGCCAGAAACTACCCAAGGTGCTGAGCACGGGCCTGCAAGTACGGCAACAGCATAGACTGCACGAATAGACCATTGTTGCAGTCTACAGCAGAGCCGGCCTATCCGATGACAAGAATGATTGCCGTTAAACCGTTACAAATAATATCTAGCAGCATGCATATTGTATGCATACAAGCGGTAGATACCCGCTCCGTCCGATCCCCTCACGCTCTGGGTTGTGTGACTGCGGTGAGTTTGTGAAAAAATCATTTTCGTCGGGCTGAAGGCCGCTCGCTGCATGTGTTTCCTGACCGCTCTTGTACGATATCCTGTAATAGCAGCAGCGTGCGCGCGCCCACAGCAGCGTCGATCGCCGCATCCTGTTTTGTTTCCTCATCCCACAAAATAAATACCCCGGCGAATTTTCCTCGACACCGCGAACAGAGCAAACCAGTCCATTCAATTCGCTCATTTCACCGTAGTCTACAGCAGTAGTCTACACCGCATGGACCACACGCCACGGGGCCGGCAGCCGCTCTCCCTTGTGTATTGTCGACGAAACAATAAAACAACGAACCAACCACGATAATCGCAGGGATTCAGCGTTGAGGGAAAGATCGGGTCGAACGACACCGACCAGGCTTCTTGGGTGAACAAATGCGTGTACGTGGAAGGGCCCGGGGCTAATTCGTCCGCCGTCCTCGACGGGTTCGTCATGGAGGACATGGTCGTCCAGAATTGCGGGTGCGTTTATCTTCTTGTGTATACTTTTGTGCACTTTGCACTCTGTGGGTTCGTCGTGGAGTAGTACATGGTCGTCCAGAATTGCGGGTTTTGTTCGCTTTTGTGCACGTGGCACGTGGCACCAGCATGGTCGCACTTGCCCCCTTGTCATTCTATCACAGACAAGTTACATGTGTGCGACCCGCCGCAACTCTCTCGACAACACCCGCCTGCGTCGGAGAACAAGATTGAAAAAAAAAAAAACGAAACGTGTTTTGCCTTCCCTCCGTCTCAACCCGTTCATACCTCTCACACACACGAAGCCCTCGCCGTCGCCGACTTCCCAGAATAGACCGAAACCAAAAACCACCACCACCACAACCAACCACGTAGCTCCCGACACTGACCGTGTGACCCCCCCTTACCCCGACATCCACCACGCCTCTGCTAAAAAACAGGGGAGAGTGCGTGCGCCTGAAGGACTCCGTAGTCAACGCCCAGGTCACAGGAAACACTATATCTCGAACTGCGGCGTCCACGACTACATGTTCAACTCGGAGGACAAGAACGGAGAAGGGGTCTACATCGGCACTTCCAGCACCCAGGTACAGCAGTAGGTGCAGAAACGACGAGCGTGTGATAATGATATGTACAGCAGTGAGAGGAGAAAATATGATACATAGGGAATCGTAGATATACCGGCTTGTTGAACATCATTCGACTCATTGTTATCCATTCTTTATCTGTACCGGTATCCCAGATGACTTTCACCGACTTTCACCTGTGGAAGACACGTTACTCGTTGGGAGGTGAACTACAGTAAAACAATGACTGCAAGGAGGTTAAGGGAAGCACGGTCGGATGCTGAAAAACGGTAGGTGAAGTGGTCACCGTATCCACCATTAGGCGCCCGCAATCAAGAAACAAACCGTTTTAAGAATAAACAAAGGCTCAGGTTTTGGCACACATTAAATCAACACATTGCTTGACCCATGAACATATAGTGCTTGTAAGTCGACGTTGCGTTCGCAAGCGCCACGACGAAGTAGGCAAACCGGCGAACCGACCAGAACAACGATAGACCGCGGCTGCTCGAAGCTTCAGTGAAGAATTAAGGACTAACGGATGGAGGACAAGCGCCGTGTGTTGAAATGTAAAACTGCTGGAATCGACGACCACTTTCAAGCTCCGCGGCGCATCGCATCCGGTACCCCCCAGTCACCAAAAAAGAAGCACAAGAGGTGAAATTTGACATTTTACCTCTGGGGGGAAGGCAGACAACTGGGGCGGCATGGAGATAGCTTAACGATGTCGATACGATGCGCAATCCTTGTAGGCAGTTGGTCTGTCACCACCGAACGAAGTCGTCCGCGTCGAATTGGCCGACACAGACGTTCGAAGGAACTGAGCGGTGTGCTCGACGACATCAACAACGATAACAACGACGACAACAATAACAACAACAAAAACAGCAACAGCAACGACAGCAACGACATCAACAGAATCAACAGCAAGAACAACAAAATCACGAACGCGAAAATCACAACAACAACGACAAAGTACCGTTGACCAACAACCAGCCCCGACTACCCCTGTCCCCACAATGTCGCCCCACAAAACCTACCCGTAGTGGACGAACGGGGAGGACACGTGCAACGGCAACGTGGTCTCCAGGAACCTGATTTCCACAAGCGGTAACGAGTGCGTCGACATCAAGGAGGGCTCCTCCGGCAACGTTATCGAGGACAACTTCAGAAGCGACCAGCTGAACGCGGAATCCGGCTGCTACGACTCACGGGGCGACGGCAACACCTTCCGGTAAGCGAATGGGCCTCCCTATTGTTGACCTTGGCCTCGCTCTCTCTCTCTCTCTCTCTCTCTCTCTCTCTCTCTCTCTCTCCCGCTCTCTCTCCCGCTCTCTCTCTCTCGCCCTCTCTCTCTCTCTCTCTCTCTCTCTCTCTCTTGTTTGATTCCCTTCGCTGGTCTCTGACGGCCGCGTTGCGCGGGGGGTGGCGCGACGGCACATGTAGCATGACACAAATCCCTCGTGATGTAGACACGGTTGCTGCTGGGTGTGATTGAATGCTGTTGAGACGCACGATGACCACTAGTGACGCACGATACCACTAGACCACGAGTCAGCGCTGACTTGTGGTCTAGTGTGCGTCTCAACAAAAGCCACGCGTTGTGTTGTCGTTGTTGCTGTGACCATCACCATCATCCTCGTTGTTGTCGGTGCTGCTGCTCTGGTCGCCGGTTCTGCTGTCGATGGTGGTAGAGTGGTCGTTGTTGGTGCTTGATCATGCGCATGTATGCGCTACGTACGGTTCGTATCGCACATACACCGAGAATGGTGTGCCTATCACCAACCTGTCATCAAGTTCCGCAAACTTAACCTCAACTGTCGTCTGTGGGTAGAGATGCTTTTGGTGCTTGATCACATGTGTATACGATCTAGACCCCACGTATTGTCGCCAACACTACCTCTCTCTCATGCAGCAACCACACCCTCAACGCCTACGTGCATGTTGCCCTTACCCCGGTGGGGTCTCTCTCCGCCCCGGCCACAAAAACCTCTACACTTGTCGTGACACGGGCACATCGCTGTTGCCAACACCCAGCACGACAGCTCCGCAACAAATAACTTTTGTGTAACCAAGCCGCCACAGCTGCATTCAATATAGGGAGGGACCCTCAATTGTCGTTTATCCGTTTCCATGTGGCCTCAACCCCCGTCCGACAGGTGTACGGCAACGATTTCTATGCCGTCGGCGTAGGGGCCCTCAAGGTGCTCGTGGGCGAGCAGGGCGACATTTGCGGCAACACCTGCGAGGACGGGTCTTGCTCGTTGACCGGGTGAGTTGTTGTTGTCGTTGTTGCGCGTGGTGCTGGCATGTGTTCGTTCTTCTTGCCGCCGCCGCTGCTGCTACTGCTGCCGGTTAAGTGGTGTTGCTTGTCATTTCGAGGTGGACGTTTTCTGACAGTATCGCGTCAAGTACCCTCTTCGGCAGCCGCGTACAGGATACAACGCATCCACAGCTCATTTCGTCATGACGTTGATGTCGGTTGGCACTGTCGACGATCCTTGTTGGTGGTTTGCCCTTGTTTCTCATCGCTGCTGATGTGTGTCTTCAACCAAACACCGAGGGTGCATTGCGCGTCATCACCGGGGCTTGCTTGACCCGTATGTAGCGATCAAACACCGTGCTGGGAGTATCAACGTCTAGCCTGAGCCACTTACCCTTCGCTTTCTACCTCGTCGTTTTTTCGCCTCTCACGAAAACACCGAACGACGCCTCCACCGCGTCCAACACCGTCGCCATCGCACCGGTACTACCGCAATCACCACCGGCACAATCACCACCACCACCATCACCACCACCACCATCACCACCACCACCATCGTCGATGACGTTTCAAAAAAAAAAATCGCCGGCGTTGCAGCGAGGCCCTGTCGGGCATCACAACCTCGTGGGACCAGGTGTGCGATGGCATCGCCACCACCATCACCACTACTGCCTCCTCGTCCCCCTCCTCCTCTAGCTCCAGTACCACGGTGACCAGCAGCAGCAGCAGCAGCAGCAGCAGCAGCGCCAGCGCCAGCAGCAGCAGCAGCAGCGACAGCGGCCGCGGAGACGGTTCCGCCTCATAAGAGAGTGATGACGACGACGACGACGGTTCTGGCTTCGTGACGCCGCTGTCCGAAGATGACGACGAGGAGACGCAGGGCAGTGACGACGACTTCGACAGCGACGACGAGTCGGAGCGGCGTGATCGCCGCCGCTTGAGGGGCGGCGCTGGCCGGGCCTCCTAGGCGGGGCTGGAACTCATGGACGGTGGCGGCCGCAGCGGTTGGTGCGGTCTGCCCTCTGGTCGTACAGATGGCAGCGACACAACAACCCTAGTCAACGGGAAGCTCTGTCGGTCGGAGAGCTTTGCAGGCATCGCAGAACTCGCTACGGTCTGTGTTCTGTGTGGATATTGATAGAATGAATGAGGCTGGGACCCAGGGCGATGTGCTTTGTCAAGGTGGCTCGAGCGATGCGTCGAACGAGGCAATGTCAATATTCCGACGCAGCCGGGACAATAAGTTCAAATCCTAGGGGCAGTGATAGAGCTACAATTAGGAGGAGGGAAGGGGGTAGGGGGTGCAACGTGTTTTTTTTTCTCTTTTGTTTTGGGAGGGACAAATTCCCGTTTTATTTTCTATCATACTTTTTTTTCGGGGGCGGGGGGGTGGGGGGTGTCCCCGTTACCGAGGTCCACAGTTATAGAGTTTTTCCCGCCAAACTTCGAAAACGCTCTACACTTTCTCACGCTGTTTGATTTTTTAACCCTACGGCTAACGCTCTAGAACTTGTGATAATTGTTTCCGGTGGTCCCCCATATGGCAACACGTTAGAATATTGAAGAAGGTGAATTTCAGGCTCGCCCATCTCGCGATGCTCCCGTTCCAAAAGAGCGAAATATGACACGCTTCAGCCATGAAATTCGGGAAACGCAAGTCCATCGGTCGGTTGATCCACCAGTACATAATAACTGTAGTTCGTAGTGTCGTGTTGACTATATGACCGACAGGGTCATTTTGTATGGAATTCTTTGCGGGCCCCCCTGGGAGCGGTTGGTTGTAGGTGTCGACAAGTTACTCCGTGTTTTGAAGCGTGCTTGATAGACCTGTGTTGCAGTGGTGAGATGCAGGCCGAGGCCATCGGAAGAGCGCTGGCGCCGCTGCGCGATCCATGCAGTAGCCGTGTGTGCGGGGCATGTTGCGCATGTATACATATCAGGGGGGGGGGGGGGGGGCTCTAGGATTTTTGGGGTAAAAAAAAAAAGGGCCAAAAAAAAAGGGGGGGGG